TTGACGGCCAAACCGGTTCCCATTTAGTTACGCCGCCCAAAAATATTTCCACCTGGTTAAACTATGCCACCTCTTCTAGGTATAACAAGTGTTTTGTCAAGTTACGGTTGTCAAAGTACCTGTGTGCCGAAAATCAGCACCTCGCACAACCAGATTACTACACAACAGCTGACCGCAAAAGCCTTTGACGGTCAAACCGTGTGTTGGCCGGCAACTTGGTTTTCTCGGCTTTGAAGCCACCTTCCGTAAAGCAGGTTCAATTGGAAGTACAGTGCACTAGTCCCTTTTTACCTGTAAAGTCTCCATCTCCCCCGACGCGTGGCAGCCCTTTCACGGTCAAAACCGTTTCCCATTCAGTTACGCCGCCCAAACCAAATTTCCACCTGGTTTCCCTAGGGCACCAAATTTTGGTATTATAAGTGTGTGGTGTCAAGTTACGGTTATGTCCAAGAACCCGTGTGTCCAAATCTGCACTTCGCACAGCCCGGTTATAACACAACATTTTTGCTCCAATATTGGATATTCCTGACAGCTTTATTCCTTTATTCGTTCGAACCATAACTTTCACACCTGCTGTCTTGATAAAACTTGGCCCACTTAGTGCACAAACTTAGTGAACATCTCACTGGCCTCCAAATATCATCGTCCCAGCAGTCCTACGTTTACCGCGACGAGCGAAACAAATTTCCCACTGAGAGCAATTATGGTGGCGGCCATCTTGCTTTTCGGAAAAATGCTCAAAGCCCTTTTTCGACCGCAACTAAAGAAATTACCCCTAATAGCGACTCAAACTCAATATATAAGAAGCGGAGAGCAGCTAAATGCCCTTCTTAAATCTTCCCAAGCACTCATGCAACGTCACCCTCAACTTATCGGCTGAAATATCAAAAGTTCCGTCCGTGTGCGCTTCCGGCGCCACAGCTTCGCACGCGAAGAGGCGCCGCAGGCTGCTGAGCGCGCCTCACTGTCGAACGCCAACCTAAGAACGAAGGGCGAGGGTAAGACGGGTCGGGGAGGCGGAAGCAGACGGAACGTTAAAAAGAGAAGGAGGTTTCCCCCACTCTTCTCCAGCGTTCCGTCTGCTTCCCCCTCCCCGGCCTGTCTTGCCCCCGCCCTTCGTTCTTAGTTTGCAACGGACTATAGAATTCGCTATGCTGAAATGCACGTGTTTTACACGTTAGCTGTTCCTCAATCCCTACTTCGTATTCGTGCGCAATCTATGTAATTTGCTTGCCGCGGATGCTCCAGACCAGGCGAGCTCGCGGGGATAGTTTATTTCAATTGGTTTAATCGGTGCTTGCCACTCCATTTTATTCAAGCGTTGAGGGAAATGATAACTCGGAGGAACTACGAATAAAGTCGATGACATCCCAATGCCGGGACTACCGCTCTCAGATCATCGACTTTGTGATGGCCGTTGTAAAACATGATGTCGTGCAGCACGGTTTGTGTCATAATTCAAAAATACCTTGAAACGCTGATTTTTGTGCATTGAAGCACACGTATATGCAGTATACAAGGTGTTTGATATTAATCGGGCAGATTTATTGCAAAAAGATTGTGGAAAGGAAATTGGGACGTTACGGAAGATTTGCGAGTTCTATACTGGCATCAACCGGAACCGCACACAGTTCATGCCCGTCGCGGTCTCATTCGTGACATGCTCACAAATATGGAACATGTGATCCCGTCGATGTTGGCATCCTGTCGTGCTCGGGATTCCATCGGAAAAACATATATAAGTAAATTCGGTGTTGATGGGGAGAAAATGAGCTCTGTGGAAATCGGCTGGGAGGAGAGCGCCGATGGTCACCGCTCGACACCACGAGGAAGGAATAAACGTAGATATATTATACGCGGTGTCCGCCGAGTCGGTGCTATGATGGAAGTGCCCGATAGACCCAAGAGACAATGAATGTCCCTGAAGGGCACAGAGATGCTTTACATGAGAGAAAATGGAGCCCATTTTTCCCCGTTTTCGGTTTCTGGTGCCCATAGAGCCCCATGTATTCGAAAACTCCGTAGGCCACCATTTTCCCATTGCAATTTTCAGAAAATCACTTTTAACTTTGGTTAAGGTGTCGGATCGGGCTGAAACTTTGGCATCTGGTTGTGACCTCTAGCGCTACCTTTGGGCGGAGAATGAGCGTTCGGCAATGCGTAGTTTATTTTTGTGATAAAAACAAAACAAAAAAACTTGTAATTTTTTTTTTTTTTTTTTTTTTTTTTTTTACATTTTGTACATTAACGTTTTGATCCCACTTTGGACAGTCCGCAAAAATTGGTTTATCAACGTATCGCGCTGGGATTTACTACAGAGGTGCGGCTAGGTGGTGCACGCATAAAGTTAAAATATCAACGGATGAACACACATCGTACAAAAAAGGGGGCAAAAAATAGAGCCTGTTTCGGAAAATCTATGGCGCCTTTTCCCGGGCGACGCAGTGTACGTACGTTGACATTGAGACGCTGCCGACAGCGTCTCCAAGTCGCTGTCGGAGACGCTGCCGACAGCGTCTGCGACAGCGCCCGATTCGGCGCGCCCCGCGCGCCTTCGATTCATACGCCATCTGTCGGCAGCGTCTCTAAGTCAGCCAACGAGCACCGTCTGCGTCTCTCGGGATATGGCGCGATGGATGGACCGAAATAGGCTCTTTTTTTTTTTCTTTTTTGCCCCTTGTACGAGGTAAGTTTATTCGTTCCTGTTTGAGCTCCACACGTGCACCACCTGGCCGCACCTCTGTAGTAAATCTTAGCGCGATACGTTGAGAAACCGATTTTTGCGGACCGCTCAAAGGGGGGATCGAAGCATTAGTGTACATGCTGTGAAATAGGCTGAGAAGAAACAACAAAAAACAAAAACAAGGCTTATGCAAAGCATGTGCTAAGCAGATACATGTTGCGAGAAAAAAACAACAAAAAAACATGAAAACGACTGAAAAGAACAAATAAAAATGATCAGACTATATGTAACAACAGGAAAGATATAAACTGCGACACTGCCTAAATAAATCACCAGAATGCAGCCCAAGTAACTATTCTAAAAAAAAAAAAAAGCAATATATATATATATATATATATATATATATATATATATATATATATATATATATATATATATATATATATATATATATATACAAGTTTGAGCGATAATTGCCCACTAAAATTTCAAACTATGTATGAAAAAGGCAAACAGCGCACAGTAAATGGAGACTAAAGGAAGTGCAAACAGGACAAGCACTGACTCTCAACTGAAATTTATTCGCATGAAAACAAAACAAAGAAAACAGCAACTCCACCCACGTCACATGATTCATTCACCACGTGACCAAAAAAACAATACCTTTGCTACTCAGGCCCAGTGACGTTTGGCTTACGCTCTTCACCCCCGCTTTGATAATTGCATGCGCCTCTAAAATTTCTCTATTCACTCTGTCCCCCCCATTGCCAATGACACCAGTCTTACTGAAGATAGGTTCGCACCCACAACCATGACAATGCAATGGCAAATGCCCCTGTACAGCTCCCACCACTGATGACTTGTCGTTGCGATCAGTGGTGGGAGCTGTAGGGGGGCATTTGCCATTGCAATTATAAAGGTACGAATAATTACGATTGCCACCATAATGACGCGCGAACAACTAGTAGAAAGTTAAACTTTCGCAATGCAAACAACGTCTTGACATATTTGTCATGTTGTCGTTCGTCGCTGTGTGTTTGTCTCGACTAGAGCTAAAACCCCACTAATGAGGATGGTTTCATTATACGAAGCCATTTCGTCTTAAACACCGACAATGTTTTTCCTTCGATTTAGAACAGACAGCAATCAGCAATCGCTCATGATAAACGCTAAATTGAATATTTCCTGTAAGTGCGGCCAGTACAGTCCCCAAAGTAGATTTCGTTCATGCAAAAAAAAAAAAAAAAAAATATTTGGTAAAAGTTGCCTTTACAGATAGAATTTGCAATTTCCCTGTCGCATTTAATCGTCTGAGAAAGCTTATTTATTTGCTGCCCTTTCTCTCTGCGGTTCTATCCAAGTTATTCGCGAAACTGAGCGGCTGCAAGTGTTTGTAGGCGTTTTTGGTTGGATATTGGGGGGTGGAGGACGACGGGCATTAAAACCGAAACCGAACTAACTTCGGCATTGAGGTCAACGAGGTAGCTTGAGGTATTCTGCATAAAAGAGATAACTATAAATGATTTCAGTTGTTTGAAAAAAAAAAAAAAGAATCATGCAAATATTTTTTGAAGCGCGGTTGAAACAGAAAATCCAATAAAGAAGTAGGCGCATCTAGCTAAACATACTAAGCGACATATGCATGTACTTTTATAGGTCTCTTTGGCCCCCGCTGCCGTCTCGCCTCCGTGGCGCAATTGGTTAGCGCGTTCGGCTGTTAACCGAAAGGTTGGAGGTTCGAGCCCTCCCGGGGGCGCAGGCGTAGTTTTTTTTTTTTTTTTTTTAGGCTTTGTTGTAATATTTTGTGTACTATTTTTTGTGCGTCGTTAGAAGCGTAGGATTGGAGAAGTTCTGAATCGCGCGTGGCGTCCACAAAATTGGGAGTGAGAGGAGAGGCGCAAAATTAACAAATTTGCGATGCTGCCACCACATGTTTCTCGTGATTACCACAGAGACAGATGATCTTAATTCAATCGCATGTTAATCACGAGACATTTAACAATTGTACTGCTCAGTATGATTATTTATGTGTGTGAGGAGCAGGGGCGTTCGCAAGGTTCGCAATTCGCAAACATTCGCAAGGATTGTGGTTAGTGGTTAGGTGACGCAAGCTACCGCCCATTACAGAGGCTTCAGTCAATTTTAAAACTCATTTATTCATAGTAGTTGCTCAATTTCGCTATAATCGGCAATGCAAACAAGTTGGACCGTTCGAGAACTTACAATCTTGAAATTGTGGGATGAAAATCGCACAATTTCAGGCCTACGTTTGGCGACTAAACAGAACTTGCGCCCTTGCGCTTTCTTCCCGGGCAACTATGGGCCGTAGGGCCGTAGTCTGCTGTAGTTGACTGTCGTCAACGTTGACTGTTGTCGCTCTTGTAAACAGAAAAAAAGTTTATCGGTATTATCCTGGCGGCGTAGTAAAGGTCACTGACATGGTAGTGCTCATGGCATAACATCTCTTATAAGAATACAGCCAACAATGACGTCTTTCTACCGTAACGTCTTCTGGTTCGCAAAGGGCATGAAAGAGTACAGCAGGTGAGACGGACATGTCTTGTTTTCGGTCTGCTTGCATGCTACGCAGTTTCCGTACTCTTATCTAATAAGGTCTTGTATGAGCACCAAAGGTGTCGATTGAAGTGCACAAAGTGACGTCTTGTGACTAGAACCTACCCCTACGTAACTCGGAACTCGAGGTTTGTGCACTTGCTTCCATGTGGTCTGCTTTCGTAGGAGCTGTCACGACCGTGTTGGCTGTGGGCGGTAGCCTGCCGTGTTCGTTCTCGCCAGGCTAGAACGAAAACCGGTGTACTTGCTAAGACGTCGCTGAACGAAAGAAACGTCCTATTAAAAGACCTCCGTTCGCTACAAGGTAGTTTACTAAAGTCGCGCACTTCGAAAAGTTAACAAGCGCAAATATCTCTCTCTCTCTCTCTCAAACACACACACACACACACACACACACACACACACACACACACACACACACACACACACACACACACACACACACACACACACACACACACACACACACACACACACACACACACACACACACACACACACACACAAAAGAGAAAGAGAAATGTTTATTGTGAGTTTTTGCACACTTTCACCAGCCACCCGCTTTTAAACAAGCATGTCAAAACACACTCAACAATGGGAAGGTCGTCGTTCAGGAAATGATTCCATTGCAGGGTATGCACACCTTGGCAGCAAAGATATATATATAGCTTTGCTGTCAAAGGTGTACAATCAGCACGGAATGAAACCTGAACGCTGGAACGCGTGGCCATCGATACAGGCTGCTCCACCTGGAGGGCCCCTGAGAACTAATGAAAATGCACCTGGGTGCGAGGGTGCAGGTCCTACTAAGATATCCTCAACCCTCGCACTGGGCGTCTGGGACTTTCGCGTTTCACCGGTGGCGCGCTGTAACCGCTGTCACTCGGGGTGCTCTTCTGTCGCTGCACTGTCGCCCGGTCGACACAGGGCGGCCGCTTAACCTGGGTATAGCTGTTTGCGATAGGCCCTGTTCAGACAGGGTAATGAATTTATTCCACTCCGGAATTGATACGCCTGGCATATTTGTGGTTACCGAAGAGAACCTCAGCGAGCAATTTCTCGATTTTTTTAAGAATCGACTGATAACCTCGCACAAAAAAATGCGCGTTGCTCATAAAACCGAGGCATCCGCGTCGGTCTGCTGCTGCATTTTTTTTTTCATAAAGAATATGGGTGTGCGAGTAAACACATTTTATTTAGCGTTTATGACGTTTCACTATTTCTCAGAAACTGCGCGTGGCACGTTGTTTCCGGTGACACGTCATCGAGCACTACGGGTCTTCTGTGCACGAAATGTTTTAACTTTAATTTCGCCCTTGCGATACACAAAGTGATAATGAATGACAGCGCTGAAGAGATATCGCTGGGAATCGGATACACAAAGCGAGTGACAGTGCTTTTTGTATCGAATGTGACGGCGCTTACAGCACGCCACCGGCGAAGCGCGGAACTCCCAGACGCGCCGCGCGATGGTCGAGCTCATCTTAGTAGGCCCCGCGCTCTCGAACCCCGGTGCATTTCCATTAGTTCTCAGGGGCCCTCCAGGTGGAGCGGCCTGTATCAGCGGCCACGCGTTCCGGCGTCCGGGTTTCATTTCTTGCTGATTGTACATACCCTGCAATGTACTATATGTATATATATGCATACATACACACATACCTACATACATACATACTATGGAGGATGTCCATTTAAATGCAATGCAAAGGGAGGTGAATTTGTGCTATGCATACCAATGTTGGTTAACTTTCCAGAAGTGGGTTTCGGACGGCATGCCGCTCTTTCAACCTCCCCGACCTGGATGTTGACTGTTCTGGAAAGGTTTTCATGGTGACCGGTGCCACAGGCACCCTGGGGAAGGTGGTGGCCATTCAGCTGGCCCAGAAAGGTGAAGTAACCTATAACCTCTTAAAGTATGAAAGGCCCAGACCGAACTTGTGTCTGAGACGAATTCCGTCATGTCATTCTAAGTAGGGGCAATGCATCTTAGTGCAGTCCAAATTAGTGCATTCTGACTTAGCATGTTCTCAGTCCTCAGTATAGCATGCAATAACATCCAAGGCATGTGTAACTTTAATTAGACATGAGGAGGATACATAGAAAGGGGGGACGGACAACGAAGTCTTCGTTGTCCGTCCCCCCTTTTCATGTATCTTCCTCATGTCTAATTACCGTTACCAACATGCTCGTTTTGTACTTAATGTGTAACTTTATTGCTTATTATCAACTTGGGCCACACGCTTCGTGCACATCTTTAATTTTCTTACACATATTATTGTAGACGGAAGGCAACACAAAGGATGAAGACATTTTAGATTCGAAAAGCGCCAGAAAACAAGGACAACAGAAGGAATAGATGAAACGAAGCGCATCGTTCCGTCTATTCCTTCTGTTGTCCTTGTTTTCTGGCGCTTTTCGAATCTAAGATGTACCAACTTGCCCAACTACAGATTCTTCTACGATGAAGACATGCCAAGGCGTGTCTTCATCCCTTTTGTTGCTTTTCGTCTGTTATCGTAACGTTTTGAGCACACTCTCCTTCGTCAAGTGTACACACCATAGTTTGCGCTGGAGAGTGCTTGTTTATATGGTTGTAGTAGTCGTCTAAACCTAACTGCCATGACTTGCACAGGGGGTACCGTACACCTGGTTTGCAAGAACAAGGACAAGGCAGATGCCCTGAAGAAGACTATTCTTGACATAACTGAAAATGAGGTATGTGCCTTGGCTTCTGCAAAGATAGGTAGCTGCAGTTTGGTGTTCCTAGCTGATGGTTTTTCTTCAAAAAACAAAAAGCAAATTGTTTTGTGTACGTTTATACAGCCGGAAGTTAGTCTGCCTCAGCGGGCGTCTGCTGTCTCAGCTGTAGATGAGCAATTTAACCCGTGCGGTACAACTGCTAGCCTGGGGTCTTTAACGTTCACCATGTAGTAGTGATACACGACCGCACGCCGGTACGATGCTCATCCAATTTCTTTTTTTTTTTTTTTTTCAAATGGGGTGAAAATGCGGAAAGCAACAGGTGTTTCTTTTTCTTTTAGGAAAACAATGGTACATTTTATTTTTTTTCTTTGGACCAAGTAAACATTCCATGCACAAAATCTTATGAGCTTTTGAAAGCCTAATACTGACGAAATTGATGCCTTTCATTTTCTTAGTATTAAAAAATGTATGGAAGTCCAGGTCGTTGTATCAATCTGCAAGCCGTACATCTTCGATTTGTCTCCCTCAGTTTTCCAGGTCAAGTTGTGTATCTTGTGAACACTAGCTCATGCTGGAAGTATATGGTTCTAACTGGTATTACTAATGCAGTGATAAAGTTTTAGAGTATGTATGAAACATAGACCTTTGTGAAACATAAACCTTGTTTTGATTTGCAGGACTTTGCATGTAAGCACCTCACATGACCATATCCTGGCATATCTGTATAATTAAACACAAAATACCCCCCCCCTCCCAATTGATAGTGACTTCCTGTCCATTGTTTAAGAAATAGAAGTACACTTTGCCATTTTTTGGATGAAATAATAACTGTTTGTGTATTTAATTCTGAGCTTTAGGTATGCATGTGCATAGTTTTCTATTCTTTGCTTTCCCTAGGAAGCTGTGGTTGTACATGTTTTGGACTTGTCAGAGCCTCAGCAAGTTTTCCACTTTGCCAAGTCTTTTGTAGAAAGCCATGGCATTCTGCATGTTCTGGTGAGCACCTTCCTTTTTCATTCTGTCAAATCACTTGTTGCATCTATTGGTTAGTATTTCTGTGGCTTCAACCAGTAATTTGACAAGCCCTATATTTTATGAAGAATTCAGTTGAAAAAATTTAACAAGCTATAACTAATAAAGATGTATATAATGTTTTTGTCTAAAAAGAAAAGCAGTGTTTTGAAAAAAAAAACAAAAAAAAAAACAGAATGCTGGTTTTTGAATATTTTGTGGTAGCAAAATCTTACAATCAGGAGTAAGTTTCTAATTGGGTGCTATCTGTGGGTAATATATTCATGCAGTAAACTTTTTGGAGTGGTTCTTTATTTGCAGTTTGTCAAAATAGTCGCCATGAAATATGAGTAATTTACGCTGCACTACATATCTGCAGACTTTTGTCCTGGTTCTTTCCACATGCTGTCTTTTCACACATTACTGCGTCTTAGTATATTTGCTTACTGGTTTCTTTTTCTTTTTAATTAATTTTAGATCAACTGTGCCTCTACAATCACTCACGACAGAGAAATTGGAGAAAGTGGCCTGGAAAAAATGTTTGCTACAAACACATTAGGTACTCCTTTTTCTGTCCACACTTCTATCCACACTTTTTTTTGTGGCATAAGTTGTTCACAATGGCGTACCAACTTGTTTTTGAGTGGGGGGGGGGGGGGGGGGGGGGCAAACCAGACCCCCCCCCCCCCTCGGGGCTGGGGGCCGGTGCCCTTGGTAACCGCCGGGCAGTGTTTGTCCTGCCCAGTGACGGCTATTTCAGGGGTGCAAAACACATGCCTTGCTCCCCCACTCAGAGAGCTGGGGGGGCAAGTGCCCCCCTTGCCCCCCCGGTTGGTGCGCCCATGGTTGTTCATAACAAAATCTTGGTATTTGTACATGTGCCCTACTTTACTTTCACAGGTGTCCACATTTTGATCAAATCCCTCCTTCCTGTGCTCAACCAGTCCTGCGAACCACGAGTAGTAAGTAATCACATCATACAAAAAGCACATAGGATTGAATAGTGCCGTGCCATTTCTAGGTTAAGTAGTGCCAGGTGGACCAAGGTGGCACGTTTTCCACTTGCACAGTGGAGGCTGCCTTTTAAGAACTATTTGGTTCTTTTATTGGCACTCTTCTAGTGGGAGGACATTGTGATAAACTGTTGCACTTTCATTCAACCTTCAGAGGACCATGGACTAACAGAGTAGCGTACTGAAGTACACATTTAATAGCCTCGCTTATGTAATAGCCGTACCCCTAACTTCAACAAGTAGTAGCCACAAGAACAAATCTAAATCTTTCATACTTGCTCATAAGCTAAATCAGAAATTTTAATGGGGTTGAATACATCGTCCGATTTGCGTAGAAAAGACTTCTCCACATTATATTTGTCTGTGTCATCAAGATGGTGCACAAGAAACTTTTGTTATGTTTTAACTTTATTTTCTGCGCATATATAAAGTAGAAGCTAACTGACGGAATTCAGAACACAGGCTAGGGGGCACAAACTACCATCTGATTAAGAGAGATCAGTCATATTTAGTACCCATCTGTTATATATTTTATCTTATTATCTCACAATCTCGCCTTTGAAGCTAATTTTCAGCATGCTTTCCAGTTATAATCGGTCACTAACCATGCAGTGGTTGGTACCGCTTCAACTTTTGGTGAAAGTACCATTATTTGACATAACTCTGTAGAACAAAAATTACTTTGCATTCTGACTTTATATGTAGCATATAAAGTCAGAATGGCTAGAATACATTTCTGCTCAGTCTGTATACAGGGTGTTTATCGAAGTGCAGGCGAAATCGTTGAATTGCAGACATCATTGACGTCGGCGTGACTGCAGCGTGCCTCTGTGAAATTGAGTGATTGCTTCGTATTGTTTAATCTTCTGTCTCTGTGTAATCGTTTACTCTTCAAGCTGCTTCTGCACCATCATTGCAGCTTTGTGTGTGTTTTGTCCTGTCTTTGTGTAATTGTTTAATGTTCAAGCTGTTTCACCACCATCTTTGACCATGTACCAACTAGCTCAACTCAAACTGGTGAAATGTCAGCGAGAATTCTTTGGTAACCCCAGCCCTTGTTTTGCTTCCTTCTCTTATCATCAGCAGGATTTCTTCCAAATATTCGGGCAGCCAAGTATTGTCGAGTTTGGGGAACCCCACGCCTGTGTTCTGCTTTCTTCAACATGATTTCTTTTGTCTGACCCTTAAAGACAAAAAAAAAAAAACACACTAGCTCTAGCCTTGAAAACATGGAACCAACCCTACATTGCATTCTGCATTCAAACCAGTTCTGAGCGTGGGTGTCACCTCCTCTGCAGGTCCTGGTGACCTGTGGGAGCCTGCTGATGCAGCGGCTGGACCCGGTGGACCTGCAGTTTGAGTGCATGTTCCCCTACGATGGCTTGGCGGCCTTCATGCAGACCAAACGCCATCAGGCAGTCATGGTGGAGCACTACGCCGAGGCAAACCCCGGCATCCACTTCTCGGCCATGCACCCGGGCTGGCTCGAGTCGCAAGGTGGCCGGAGTCCTTGCGGCTCTCGTGTCTGGCGCGAAAAGTGAAGCATTTAGTCGTCCCCAAAGGCCGACCTGCAACATTGTTTTCTACCTGCCAGAAACCCCTTTCCCAAAGTCCTTTTCCTCTTCCCCTCTCTTTGCCAGAAAAGCACAGCTTTGGGCTACACCTGGATGGCAAGGCTGTGGGACTGGGTTCTTTATGTTGCGTGCCGGAGACGAGCACGGGGCGCAGATTGGGAGCAAGTGCTGACTTGGCGTCTGCCTGGGACTCTTGTTCATTCAGTCGGAACACGATGGGTCATAGTGTCCTCTGCAGTCCGTTGTAACGTAAAATGGGAGTGTGGGAGGTGTTGGTTGAAGAGCTAATCTCCACAGAAAGGGTGGTTTCCACATTTCTGACTACATCTCCGGTTTTAATGGAAGCATAGAACAAACTGGTGGGCCGGGGACAAGACACGCACACAAAGCTGCAATGATGGTGCAGAAGCAGCCTGAACAAGAAATGATTACACAGAGAGAAGATCACACAATACGAAGCAATCGCTCAATTTCGAAGTGGCGCGCTGCAGTTGCGCCGAAGAAAATGATTCATTGTAAACCATTCACAAAATAGTTGACTCAAAATTTGCGTCCTATTCACAGTGAGCTGCATCGCGAGTTTCATGACAAATGCCATTGCGATTCATAGACAACCAACAATAGGGGTTTCTGCAGCCAATTTTTATTGTTTCCCTAAGAGTGGGATCGTTTGGTTGGTAGAGAAATGGGGTGTTTACGGGAGAGGAATGCAAGCCTCCTCGTAAAAGTACTTCTTGCAGAAACCAGCACGTATACACACAAACGGATTCCTGTTCTATGTATTATAGATGTGAGGTGTTTTCTTGTTAGCAAAAGTGGAAAAAATTGTTTAATGGTCCCTCCAAAGCAGCCTACAAAAGTTTCTCAAGTAGGGCTGGAATCGGTCCCTTTTTGCATTTGTCAAGAGGAGAGCAGATAAGTCTACCTACTGTAAGTACAAGGGCAATGTTCAAGGAGACTCAGCGGGGAGCTCTTTGGCTGGGCTTGCTCACATGCAGCCATGAGGAAGGATCGAGGTCACGGAGAAAACTGCAGGTTGAAGTTTCTACGTACAAGTGTGTTCTTCATGCTCGTGGGAAGCCTTTCTCCTATACCATTTCGCTGTGGCGTCTCCTTACTGGGCAGTTAAATACTTTACCCGTGTTGTCAACGGGGCTTTTCGAATTGCTCGTAGTAAGGTCTCCCTTTCTCTGCTGAAACACCAGGAGTGAAGGAGGCCGTTCCCAAGCTGTTGCGCAAGGTCCCCGTTCCTTGCCGGACCGTGGAGGAAGCTGCCGACACAATCCTCTGGCTGGCCATCTCGCGTGCAGCTCTCAAACACTCCAGCGGCATGTTCTTCCAAGGTGTGTATGAAAGTGTGAATTGCATTTCAACAAAACCCCGGAATCCCAGAAAATTTTCCGTCGGGCCATTAGTTTCTTTGCCATGTTTAGTGGGAAATTTGACGTCATGTGATGTCGGGGTGTCAGTCAACACGACTAGAAAAACAAGTTCATTTCCTCGCTAAAAATAGCAGGTAATGATGCGACAGGATACTGCGACTTCACGCATGACAAAATTTGCCACTGTGACGTCAGTGTCATGCGACATCAATTTCTTCACCAAATTTAGCAGGGGAGTTAATAAACAACATGCTCTTCTCTCCCTAATAAGACTGCTTGATGTATTCTAAACAAATTTAATTCATCTGGTAATATGATTACAATATCTTCTAAACCTTTAGCTCGTGGATTTGAAGGCAGCCTGGTGAACTGTTTTGTGCCGACTAGTATTTCCCTGCTTTGCATGAATGACAGACAGAAGGACAACGTGCCCCCACCTTCCGTTCGGCAAGACAAAGACGAGTCTGGATGACGAGAAGTTCTTCATGCAGAACCTGGAGGACTTTGTGAAGAAGCTTGAACTTTCGTAGTCTCCACAAAGGGAGGCTTTCATTGCGTGTGCATGGGACTACTACCTCACTACTACTCATGTCCAGTTTAGGACTTGAATCGGTGCCACAGGAGGCTCTTTTAGTAGTTTTTAATTGGGTCACAAATACAAGCTGGTCAAGTGTGCGTAGTTAGGTTTTTATTCTTGGTGCCACGAGGTGTAAAGGTTGCATGGTTTTGATATTTGCTTCTATACTTTTGTTTTTAAACCGAAGTCTAGGTTGTATGTGGAAACATGTTGCATTATTGAGTGACTCGAAATTGTGCCTTTTAATTTTCAAGTTTGAAGTAAACAACTCAACATGGGAGATTTAATTGCAAGCACTGCCAGGCTGGGCAGTCACATTTGGCATAAGCGGATCTTCCAGGGTATCCATGTGTCTAGAAGTAGGGCTCCCAACCAGGGCCGTAACCAGGGGGGGGGGGTTAGGGGGTTCTGACCCCCCCCGAAATTTTTTTCTGGGTATGGCCCTGGTCGGTGCACTTGCAGCCAGCCGATTGTAATCTCCACCTCTGCGCACGCGCAGTGGCACCGGTCGGCTACCGGGTACCAAACCGGGACCGGTTCTTCGGTTTGCTATAACTCTCCATTATATGCCACCGATGCACATGATTCATAGGCGAAAATAAGACAAAATGGCCGCCGTTGTCCTCGAAAACCCCCCCCCCGAAATTTTTTTCTGGGTACGGCCCTGCTCCCAACCACTGTTTGCATTTGTCTTACAACAGGAGAGTTTTGCATGTGTCACGTCATCAGTAGCTTGCCGTAGAGTTAACACTTGAAATCAGCAAAACTAGTTAAGTGCAGTTTTAGTCAGTGGCTACTTTGATTTTTTTATACGCATTTCTGAAGTTTTCTAACGAAAAAATGTAGTATCGTAAGGTATACCGATTTGACACTGTTCCCAACTTGAACCCTTTGAGCTTTTCCCAAAGGACCCCAGAGAAGAGGTATTTGGAAAGCATATTTCTTACTGTTGTAACAAGCTATATTTATGCTTCATTGTGGTCTAGTTTTGTTTCATGCTATTTCCATATTTGTAGCAACATTTTACCAACTAGCCCAAGTTTATAAATATGCGACAGGATGTTCCACCATGAAATATTAAAATTTACCGTATCTCACGGGGATTGCGTGGCATTCTTGCACAGTAGTTCCACACTGGACTTACATTATAGATAGACTTTCACTTATCATGCTATGGGGTAACTAGTGGAATCCTCGTAATATGGGAACAATTGGCCAAACCACCAATGCTGCATCTGTGCCTTTGTTCCTCTGGAGGCTTTCGTGTTGCAAGTGTGCACCCAGATGCATAGGATAACACCTGATTGATCAGCCAGGTGCTGCTAGTTGTTGCCCAATTCATAGGGTTTGGCACGTGCTCCAATGTCTAGCTGTGCCTACATAGATAAAACAGGCATGTACAGGAAGAAAAAAAAAAAAGCAAGGCCTCAACTCAATGCATATGAATTTATTAAGCACATTAACCCACTTTTTACTTTGCTAGAGCTGCATATCACAGATGTATATAACAACTTTTGCAAGACCATTTAGCAGTAGCAATCATTATTCGACGGCACAAAGATATCCACAGTGTCTGCACTTTCATATTGGACAAGACAAGGTAACAGTGGGGGAGTGGGGAAACACCGACTTTCAGGAACATTAGAACTGGAGTTAAGACTTTGTCTGTTCAAGCACCATTTCCAATGTACCCAGTTCAGAGTTAGCTATTTTGGACTACAGTGGAATTGACACAGCCTGGAACACTGGCTATTACACAAACCTTGGGGGCTGCCAACGATAGAAACAAAGGTGATGTGACGCTCGACATAATCCTGGCTATGGCGATATAGAACTTAATTTGTCAACAATAAGTTTGTGTCAACAAAAGGGAGAAAAGAAAAAAAAAGAAAGTCTCATGTGACTCAAAGCTTTCATACAGATCTGAATTATGAATAGCTTGTGCTGCCTCACAATACTAATCGATAGAAAGTGCAACACAGAAATATACATAACCTAACACACTAACTGCACATTATTGGTGAGTTCAACCCAAACAAAGTAAACTTATGATGCATACTTCAATGACAAACGTAACGTAGACACATCCACTGTGTCTACGTGCACAGAAGAGAACCGATCAGACCTTCTCAGCTTGACTTGGTCAAAAAAGAAAAAGTGCAGCAGCATCTTTGGTTGGTACCTGTTCAAATCATACATTCCACTGGTAGTCTTTTATATCATCGATCACCCAGTCCAATTACCGCCTTTCCGCAATCCCTTTTTACCCCGATCAAAAAGACGTTTTCACGTTCCAAGTCGCCAACAAACGCTGGGGCGAAATGGCAAATATAAAACCGAGCTTGCGTGAAAATGTGCTTGGACACGCCCACGTATAAATAAATGTAACCAAGTTGACCGCACATACTTACACACTCCAAGCACCCTCCAATTGTCGCACTACTGTGTTTAGAAGAGTGTCGCGTGGCTCGCGTGGCTGACACATGCATTCGAGAGGGAGGGTCATGCACCACCTTCGGAGTGTAGTCCAACACCTTCTAGGCATGTTACAAAACAAACAAAAAGAAAACGGTGGCAGCCTGTGTCGACTCCCGCACCCTTGCACCGTTACAAACTGCTCCCCCGCTGTACTACTACCTTACGATATTTGGGGGTGTCACTGGGAGACCAGAGCTTAGTGAAAGACTACACCAGACGGGACCCCTGGCTGCATTTGCCTGGCTCCAACGCAGAGTATGGCAACAAAGTGGAAAGCTAGGGTCGTCTTCTCGATGCTGCTCTTTGTGAGGTTCTGCACCCTACAGCATGTGGCTGATGTCCCATATCTGAAAATTGAGGTGCCACAAGAAAGAGGGGTAAGGTTCAGAGTTCCTGGGTCCAAAGTCGACCATTATAGGTGAACTTTCAAATATGAAGAAAAGCACTTGGAACACTTCGCGTATTGACAGCAATCGTTTCCGAGTGCTGAAAGCAGCTGGTCGTGCCAGTTGCCTGCGACAGTTCTTGAATGCTCGTGCATTCGACAAGACTAACTTTTATACGCTTGGTTTGCTCACTCTAACATAAAAAGCAATGCAAAATGTTATTAAAAAAGAATCACTATTATATCAAGTATTTTGAAGTGTACACACACAAAATTAATATTCCCTGGAAAAAAAAAACACTTCTTTAATGCAATATTTATGCTGTAAGACACATTCGTAGTTAGGAGCAGTCCCAAAATTAATTTCTATTTTGAGACACCAACCTCAAGATACAAGCTAGTTTCAGAATCACTACTAAAAATGCATTTCATGGCATAAATATTGCATTTTACAGGAAAAATTAATTTTATGGCATGCATGTCCAGAAGCCAGGCAATTAAAAAAAAATTATTTTTAAGGAAGTTCAATGTTTTTTTTAAAGACCAATGCACACAGAGCATGCCAATACACTTTGGGGGCCTATGTCAAGAACCGACAGCGAATCGCCATGGGAACTGAGCGATGCAATGTTTGCTTGCCACGACCACTAGCAGTACTATATCGGCCTAGCTGAATATTGCCGTGCAAATCTGACTTTTGTGGCAGAATATGAAGGCAAGGGATCGAAATTCCGGTAGAGCCACATTATTCTAATCTAAAAAAAAAAGGGTGTATTGTTACACCCTTTTGTCCCATAGAGTAGTACACCCCAAAACTTCTTTTCGACGTACAGTGTGCTGACGTTGAACTAACAGCCCCTACTTTTACGAGGGGCTCGGTCACGGTGCGATATAACTTATTAAACAGCTAAAGTATGTATCCAAGGCTACAGAAAAAAAAAAAAAAGGTTTTGCAGTAAGGCCAAAAAAAAAAACCGATTGTTTTTTTGTTTTTTTTTGTAGTCAGACACATGTACATTAGCTATTTTAAGAAGTACCACTCGGCTATCAAGCCGCGTGTGAAAGTTTGCACAGTCTGTTGACGTCAGTGCACTGTGCATTGAACCGAAGTTATGGGGTGTATTGTATGGGACAAAGAATGTAAGACCAGTATACCCTTTTTTCTTTCTGAGAATGTATTACAATATTTGTACGTTCTGGGTGATACAGCAAAACAAAGTAGGCTTCTAACGAGTTTAGGTGACTGGACGCATTCAGCAGTGGATACTGCTCGAAGCCGGAGGGCTCTCACCTTTATGACCCTATCGGAGCCTGTGGTTAACAGGTGGCCCCGTGTGACGTCCAGGTGCATGTGCACCACTGGGTGCCGGGCTTCGTGGAACGTTGCCATGGACACACGGCTGAAATGGGGAAACGGGCCCTCTTTCATTTCCCGGCTTCAATCCATGCCAAGGGCCCCTAAAAGGTAAGGTGTCTCATGGATGCACACTAGAAGAAGCATCAAAGTGAAAGTTGTCTTTTCTTAGAAATGGCGTTGTTAAAGGGATACTGCAACGTTTTCCACGTTTAGAGAATATGCAGTTTGTAAATTTTATATTGTTTGTCTCGGCACAAGACAGAAAAAGTGCGGCACCTTCCCCCGAAATACTCCAATTCCACCGAGTAATCGCAAAGGCAAAAAAATGCCTTATTTGCCGATTTGCGGTTGCGTGTGCGGCGTGGGTGGGAACCACGGCGTTCCGTCGTTGGGAGTGCAGTCGACTCTCAATAACTCAAAGTCGCTTCATTACAATTTTTTTTTTTTATTACTTCAAAGCAGGTGTGTGGTCCCGGCAATTGCGCATAGAAGTCGAAGGGGAAAAATGTGGCAGTAATTCAAAGTTTGTGTCTGGGACTGGTTACTTCAAAGGCTCTTTTTATGTGCTCGAGAAGTCCGGCAACTCTGGGACCACGAAACAGCATCGCGGTTATGTTGACCAAGCTTAAATCATAAAGTGTGTGTTTTATTGCTTTTATCGACTGTGCATGCGCTTTGAGAAAATAAGAAAAGGGTGCGGCATGCAACTGGACTGCCATGCTGCCAAGCCTATAAAGCAGCCCAAGCTACGCCAAGCCAAGTCGAGCCAGCGTGACGGTGGGGGCGCGCATCACAGCATCGTTACCACGAAAATTACTGAAGCAAGCACGACCGTGCCGCGCAAACAGCCAACAAATCTTCGTTTGAGACATTACCCAGCTACGCGAGATGTTCCGTTTATCAAATATATCGATGCCAACAAACGTTCCGCAGTCCGTAGTCCGCTTTCGGACAGTGGCACAGTGCAAGTGATTGGGCCTAAGAACCATCATGTTGCTTTCCGTGCTAAGTGTCGCCAACACGGAACTGCTGAGGCACCACAAAGTGCAATTTTGCGTTTTCTTTGGCGAAGAAACTACTAAAGAGTTGGCAATTTGCAGAGCATACTTAAAACTGTGCGTCTTTGTTGGCGGAATGACGAGTCTTTTTGTTAGCGGAAGAGAGCAAAAATCAACTTCTCCCGGTGAGTACCGCATCGAACACAAATGGTTTGAATTTGAACAGTTTTGCTGTCCCCATGAGGTGTACATTATCAAGTCGACACGGTCAACATAATCAGTCTGCCTCCGTCGCTGCATTTTCCATCGGCCCTGTGGCGAACCGCCTTTGTGTTGACTGCTTGCAGCGACCTTCAATGTGAGGGTTGCTTTGTTTCAGTTCTTAAAATAAAAGCTAGTGTATGCAATAAAAAAATTTTGTCCTTCGTTCTATAGGTGATGCAGAATAATTCCCGCAGTTAATACACTAATGCCCGAAAATTGTTGCACTACCCACTTAATGCAGGATGAATTGATACTTCTTATGTTGCAATTCCAGTGGGATGCATTGTATAGCTTTAAAATGTATAACAATTTTAAATTTTTTTTATTTACTACATTCTTTAAGGGATTTTTTTGCGAAGTAGAACCATATTTACTCGAGTAATAGCCACACTATTTATGAACAAGGCCCTTGCGTCTACTTTCCCACAGAACATATATACAGCCAATCATTGCGTTGCACATAAATAACATAGCAAATAACCAGATGGAGAACACGATTCTTCATACAAATGCAATCTTTACAGATGGTATCTTTGCACGAAGGCGTTATCTCTGTCCTGTAAACAGCTGGAATCATGCCGTCGATCGCGGTGATTAGCAATCTGCGTGCTCTGCGGAAAAACGAACCCTCAGGTTTTCTTCATGAACAGTGTGGCTATTACTCGAGTAAATACGGTAACACGCACAAGCATGCAGAAATCTTTACAGGCAAGATGGTTGCACACCGGTGCTTCGTCGTTTACAACTACCGCACAGTGCCGACCCCTGCAGCCGTACTTTGCTCGCCATATTGCCTCACGTTTTTCCCAACTAGTTTCAGCAGGGCCTCTTCTTTTAATGCAAGGATGTGAAATGTTTCTTGCACAATCTGACTTCCTTTTCACAAGCATGCCTGCTCAAAAAAAAAACAAAAAAACCCTGCGATTTACATTGCACATTCATGCTCGATCCACATGAAACATAACGTATTTGTATTCGATAACATTGACTTAATTAGCAGTCACTTTCTAATACTATTCACATTCAATGGGCAGTAGATCTATCTGATATTTGCACACTTCTAGTTTTTACACAGATATTGTTCGCTGTGCCTCTGGCACGATCCGAACAAATCCACGTCTAAAGCTCTGCTTCCAGCAGACGCACAAATGTGGGCGAGGAGCTCGAGAGGGAAACCCAAAAAAGGAAAACATACTCGTCGTCGGTGATGATGACGTGGCACTCGTCGCAGACCCTCACGTCAAACTCGTAGCCCATGATGGGAATGCGACTTCTGTTGGAACTGCACTTGTCACACACCGCCTTGCCACACTTTCGACAGTGGTGCTATTTTTGAAAAAGAAAAGACGGGTATTCAGGTATTTATACATTAAAAGTTTAAACACAAAATGGACAAACCAACCCCGAAAGCTTACGTTTAAATACCTACACACTAGTGATGGGACTGAGCAGACTACTTCAGTGGAAAGGTGAGTGAAAGAGGCAGAAAGGAAAATGTGGGACATAAGAATGCAGGAAAAATCAGCTCTAACAATGTACAGGACAGCTCACAAAAACAGGACATAAGAAAGGAAAAGTGTTTGACAATCCACTGGGAACTTCTTCGCTGTTTGAGGCGAGAACGGGAGTTTTGAGGACGAGGACGTATAGGGGAAATAGACACATAATGTGCTGCCTGTCATGATGAGAGAGAGACACTTGAGCACTTTGTTTTTAAGTGCACTAGGCTTTGTCCTGCACTCCCTGAAGGGGTAACGGATTTGGCCGAGGCCCTGGGCTTTTTTAGCGATAATGGAAGGACGGAGGAGAAGAGGATTACAATTACAAAGAGGCGATTAGATGATTAGTGGAAATTATCTAGGGGAAATTGAATGATGCATGACTAACTAGCACAGCTGGGGACAGGGGATAAATTTGGACTCCCTCTTGCGTGGCTCCGGCCCAAAGTCTCAACCTGTCCCCCAATGAGTTAAGTGAAGGGTAACGCCGACAAGGTTTGACCAGAGGAAAATTGGCGACTCCCTCGCTGGGGGCAAGAGGCAAAGGGTGATGTTTTTAGTTTTTTTTGCCCGATCCCCCTAAGTTCATCCCAGCGATATCCCACACCACCTGGTGATAGTTAGGGGGTCAAAATTGGCTTAGAAGGGCGGGGGAAATCAAATGTTTGTCTTTCTTAGACTTTGGCTACGTGGCGCAAGCTACCGCCAGCTACAAAGGGTGCTATAGCCAGTAACATCCATCCATTCATAAAAAAAAAACAATGTGGATTACTCCATCCAAGTGCGCTCATCACAAACAATGTGCAACAACACTTGCCTGTCGGATCCCGATCGTTTTTTGGTCCATCATTGCCTTGATGTTCCAGAAGAACGGACGAGAACACCGTTGGCACGTGTCGCTCTCTCCCCACTCCGGAGTCTGTGAACAAACATCAAGAGTCACGTCGAGCCCCACATTCCTGTTTTATATGAGGTTTCAGAATGCTCCCTCATTCTAGCTGCCACTAGTAGAAAGCAGACTTAAACTAAGAATAAATAAGATTCGTTTAAAAAAAAAAAAGATTTCAATATTTTAAGGGGAAAAATAGCTGGAAACAGGCTCCAGGAAAATCACAGTTTTTTCTGAAATCTAAGTGCTCGACAGATGATAAATATTTTGACAGTACTGTATATATCTGTTGGGACAAAGCTTCAATAGCCATAATGATTAAGATATATTATGCTAATGCAGGGATGGAAGCAAGCTTCAGCCTTTTGTAGCATGTCTGAGAGCAGCAAAGGTGCACCTTTGGAGCAGCTTTGGAGCAGTAGAAGTTCTGCATTGGAGCAGCTCAAGAGTCACAAATGTGGAGTTTCGTAGCAGTATAAGTAAATCTTGGAGCTGGTCGCCCAGGCCAAACCTAAAGCTATAAGCGCAGAGATGTTTTTCTAAATACAAAAATATCACAACAAAGAAGCACCTCCATAAGACCATTGCAGGACCATTTGCAAACATACCCTTTCCTTCAATATAATCCAGCCCATAGCATAAAACAGCAAACAGCATTAATGCAATTTATCTTAATGGCAGTTGCTGAGAACAGTCCTGGTAGCCGATTGGTTCCGCTTATGAATTTCCACCAGTCAGCAAAAAAAAAAGTGAATCTTAAAGGGCAACTCCGCTTCATTTTTGGTTTTGAAAAAACAATGCAGTCCTCTTCAGTATCGCCTAGGAAGACCACACGTCAAATATTACGACGCAGTTCTTTCTAAATGTTTCTTAAACGGTCCGGCAAACTTTGCAACTCGCCAAGTTGCCGAAATCGGCTGACTTGAGCGGGCGAATTCAGGCGCAACCAACAGCGCAGTCAAGGCTACGGCATGGGCGGAGCCAACATTGAGCTAAACACCATCTACATGGCCCCCTTTTGCTTGTTTTTACTTCTCCGATCGAGCGTAGCGCGTGACGTCAGCAACGTTGCCTCTCGGCGCTCGGCGGTGTCCACGTGATTGACGTACGCGCCTGCGCAGCGCGCTTCTTGGGAGCAGGCCAACCGCCCGCCGTGGTCCCGCCGTTACCGCCGTCTTCCGCGTCACAACCATCGTTGTCATCTCACCGTTTGTGATTATTGCATCTCGGAGTTTCGTCCACACTATGGACACCACGTGCGCAGAGTCCCAGACTTATGCCGCAGTTGTGCAGACGTCGTCGAATGCCAGAGACACCAAAACGTGGCGAAGAGTGCTGTGCAGACGACACTCGCGCCTGCCGCACGCTCGCCCGCCCCCATCCCGCCCGTCGTTGGGCCGAGGATCACGTGACCTCTCGTACCACGTGATGGCCATGTACTTGGCGGCCCGAGGCCAATGTTGCCGGACGGAGCCGAAGTTTCGGTTTCGATTTCCGCTCGTGTTTAAAATTAAATTTAAAAATATATATCCCATTTTTCGCGAAGCAAACGACGTAGTGTCTTTTACTAGGGCTTTTTAATTCGAAATCACTCATTATCCCAAAATCTTCGGAATTGAGCGGAGTTGCCCTTTAAGCCTCATGAAAACAAAACGTTCTGCCTATTTAAAGCGCAATCCAAACCAACGCTTCTTTTTGCGCCTGTAGGTCGTGCGGCTGCGGATGTGACGTATTTTCGTGACATTGCGCCACTTCTTCGCTCCTTCCGGGCGCGCACAAAAAAGTTGGATAATTTCAACTTCTTTCTCAACGCGCACAAAAACGCGCGGTGACGTATAGGGCGCTCCTGCGTCCCGGCCAATCGGTGGAGGGCAAGCTAGTTCCGGCTCCGCGTTTCTTCGCCGCCTTCTCAGAGCAAGTGACAAAAGCGCCCGGTGCGCATCCACAATTGGCCCTCTCCTCCCCCCACTTTTATTCTCTTCCAACATAACAACGCGATCACTCTCTCTCTCCGCCTTCTGGCTGTGACAGACTGGCCGGCCAGGCCAGTCTGTTGCGCGCGTGCGCGCTCGCCCGAAGCTGGCCCGTCCAAACCAAAGCGCACGGTTCTGACTCAGAAAGCGCGCCCGGAAACAGCAAAAACGTCAGGAAATGCGTCACATCCGCAGCCGCACGACCTACAGGCGCAAAAAGAAGCGTTGGTTTGGACCGCGCTTAACACCCAAATCTCAAGATCTACAAGTTGAAAACAAGAGCCTCAAGGTACAGAGCCGACACTGTTAGCGCGAACAAGCGATCGCCGGTTTTTCCAGTTTTTCTCTTTGAAACCATGGGATGTCCATTCAAGTTAATATTGCAACGGAAAGAGCTCATTTAGTTCTATAAATTAAGCAATAAAATGTTGTGCTTGCTAATGCTATTTTGAAGTAAAATGTGAAAATGCGCCAATGTCGTGTTCGCGCTAACAGTATCGCGATGTGTACACCTAAGCACTTCTTATGAGTTGTGAATGCGAAAGCATGCGTGCCATTGTTCCGCTCCCGCGCTTCGTTTGTGGCGTATTTGCATCAGCCGTGCGCACGCTCTCCCAGCTCTTCTCGCAGCTCTGACCTTGGACGCTTCGTGTTACAGGCGCGCTCGCGGCGCGGACAAGCGGCGCCATGGGGCAGCGGTCGTAGAAACTGACGCGCGCAACGGCCAATTGGAGCCTCGTCGACGCGCGTCAGCCAATGGGATTGACGGCGAAATCCATCGGCTTTACTCCACTCCTTTAGGATCGGGGAAACTAGGTGCCGTTGTCTAAGCTTTTCGCACGATTTCGTAGCTGGGAGCTGGCTTCACTTGGAGAAAGGATTGAAGGTGCCGTTTGCGTGCTTCAAACTGATGACGTCGGCTCGCTCCACAGGACCAGTTAATGCTTTCGCATTAAAACCATTTCAAGATGCCATAGTATGGCCCAATACTTAGTGGCTACAGTTTTCATTATTATGAAATACAAATGTTCCAAGTCCCTGTTTAGCAAACATGAATGCATCCCAATACTCAAGTTAACAGAGTACAAATCGACTCTGTTAACTTGAGTAACTTAAAAAAAGTACAAACGTAAAATATTGAAAGCTTCATGACATCATCCCTGCTCATACATGGCGGCAGAAACCAACACACCCAAATGAGTACACGTGGTACGAAAATAAACACGTGACTTTTACTATGTATTTATATTCGTCCAAATACGGCATATTTCTGAATTATAGAGGCATTTACTTTTCCTCGCATTCGGAACAGATGACTTAAACAACCAACTCGCGCGGTTCTTCCTTGTGCTGCTGGCGCCTGACGGCTCCTCAACATGAGACCATGAAGTGAATTGGAACACTCTGTCTACTTGATTGGTCCAAAATAAATCATGGTCATTCTCGTTACATGAAAATAGGCACTTGGCACCCGTTTTTCGTTAAACGAAAGTCACCTGCTTTGATGTTGATACTATCACATTGGTATGGTGGTTCCATTACATTGCTTCATAATTATTCTAAACAAACACAACACAATAAACCACTATGGCCAGTAAAGAACGAAAATCCCATTAAGATAACTTAAAAAAAAAAAAAACTTTTGGCTAGCTTTGGCACAATGGTGTGCACTTGAGATCAGAATGGCGCACAATGGCGCAACTGGCACGGTGCATCCACCCTTGTAATGGTAAAAGTGTGAAATGCAACATCAAAAGTGTGACTGGAAACCTTGTTGCCGTTTTCCTGATTGCTAAATGCATTGCCCGAAAACACTAATACAAAAGCAGACTCCAAACCCATCATTTGGTAAGTGCAAGTAGGCCTGGGATAATTCTTAGTATTACTACTAAGTGCTAAGGGCAGCTGCACAAGTCATGCATAAGTGGCACTAGTACACTTTCAATCATGCAACAAAAATCAAATAGCTTCTAGACCGCGGGCCATTAGTGTATGTAGAAGGAAACCTCTGCACGCACTTCTATCCTCTTGGTTGTCATGTTCCAGAACACAAGCGTAGAGTCCTCGCTTGCAGAGATGAGTGTCTTTCCTGGACTATGATAACATAAGGCTGTCACTTTGTTGCTGGAAAGAAGCAAAACACAGGTCTGGTGTCAGGGAGGGGAGGTTTTTTTGCTAAAGCAACTATCCTATGTTTAAGATAGCTTCGTGGGTTAACATTAATGAAAAGCTCTTTGGGGTGGGCAAACAAAACTTTCTGTGAATTTTATTTCTTCGTACGTACAACCTGCACCTGCTTGCAAAGAAGTTTCATAAGTCTACTTGGGAGTTCATCATGAACTACAGAACATCAGCCAATGGGAGGCAGAGATAACATATAGACTCAAACAAGTAGGCTCTAGAGTTACTGAGCATGATATTTACGTGCTCAGATTCCAAATGCATATCTGAATGTCACCTGCGTTTCCTGATTTGAAATCCTTCTCTGCAAGTTCCTGTGACTGGCGACTGCGCACTCAGTGAAAAAAGCAGACGCTCTAGCCTTTTTCGTTAAAAGGTGCAGGCTCTATGCATGGAGAAGTGGCATCAATTCACGAGTTGCTCCACTATTTTACTTTTTACAGAGAAAATTCTCAGCTTATTCCATGATGCAATGCAGATGTTAGTTCTTGTTAGCACATATATCTCCACACCTCCAAGTGCATGGCCTATTGTACCATTTTTTTTTTGGTGCACACAAACTCAGCCGTCTAGTCATTCAGAAGAAGAGAGGCACGCATTCAGACTTACTGGTGGCCCTGCAGCTCATAGGCAGTGCCCTGCTTTCCCCCAATGTCCCACACAATAATGGTCTGGTCAAAGCCGCCGGAAAAGAGCAGCTTTCGTTCGGCATCCCAAGAAAGGCACTGAATGCTCCCTGCAGAAGAAACGAAAGGGGCGTCCATTGGCCGTAGGTCTCGAGTATGGGCACTCTGCGTCTTTTCTAATTGACCCCATTCTTGTAGTACCACTCAGTGTTGCATCGTCCACACACCACAGCTAAGCCTATAAATATATAGACCTCATCGGCGCTTGTACCTTCGGGGAAAACAGCTATCCAACAAACTGGAAGGGCAACTTGCATGATAGACATACGGTCGAAACTAGAGCAAGACTGCAGGCGAGCTGGTTTAAGACTAACGTTGTAATCCCTGGAGCAAGGGGAAGACGATTCGAAGGAAAAACACAAAACTCTAACAAACGAAGAACGAGCACAGTTCTGTGTTTGTTGTTTGTGCCGTCTTCCACTGAATTACGATGCAAGATGAGAAAAAGTTTTCAGCAGTTTGAAGGTTTCGTCAAGCTTAGAAAGATGCCTCAAGCACTTCCGAACGCCGACTAGACAAAGGAGACTCGAGATACTCGTCAACTTCCAGGGTCAACAGTTAGTTGGTGGTGTTTCATGCTGCTGGTATCCCCGACTATGGGTCGTTTAGTCCTGTGGCTCGGTACAAGTACAGGCTAACTGTCAGCTCGACACCATCGTGTGTAGCGACACCAAGTGGTTTGTCAAAACATGTTCTCAGCAGCATTTCAAATGGTTACACAGGGTAGCCACAGATTACTCAATAGGCAACACATTATCTTACCTTACATAAAGCACATATTAGGTTTTGCACATCCTCTCAAGTGATGAAGTGCCACCACTTGCACAAAGCGGGTCAACGGTGCGTCCACTCACCCGAGTGTCCCTTGAGTGTGGTCACTGGCTTGTAGCCAGTTTCCTCCACCTTCACCATGGTGATGTGGCCAGAGTAGTCGGCAATGAATGCATGCTTGGACTGCGCGTCAAATCTGCACGTTCCTTTAAGGTTGTGACAACACTGGATGCCAGAAGCTCTAGAATTTCATTCTAACAAAATATACCTTAGATTTTATGTCTCCTCATGGCATGCATGTATGGCATGTGAAGTGAATCGAGGTGCGAAGTTGTGTTCGTGACGACCTAGTATCAACAATGTTACTGAGCCTAGCAACGTTTGGCATCAAGTCCTGGTGCAACATGATGTCGTGTCACGTAACATCGTGACCTGACAGACGTCACAGTGTCGTGCGACGTTGATGACCACGTGGCGTTGCAGTGTGACGAGACGTCACTTAGAGAGAAGCTGAAGCACTTTTGAGAAATCCGAGACAGGATCGGAATTTTGTCCCGTGAATTCAGTGATCGCACTTATCTTGGGCAGAAATAAATGTAAACCGAATTTATTTTGAAAAATGTGCGCAGCGATTGCCACTGGGCACACGGTGATCCTCTCTGCCACCTGTTATCTGTCCAGATCTTCGTGATGTCATCATTGGCAGGCATCCCTGAGCCAACTTACTGGCGGGCAAGGGTCATCCGACCCGGCTGATGACGTCACTTTTGCTAGTTCTTCTCTTCACTCTCGCGCTTTCCTACCCTCGGCGCACCAAAACGGGCTAATCTACGTGGAAATTTTAATTGGCGGTCACGATGCTCCTGCTAGTAAGATCGAAAGAACAATTAAAACACATCATTTTCAAAGTGTCTAGTACATTAGAAATTTTTCTGTCTGTTCGAATTCAAGGACTTCTTCAGTTTCCTTTTAACGCAGCGACATCAAATGGCATGTTATGGCGAGTGATTAATCGGGCTGTTGCCAAAAAAGAAAGGTCACGAAAACCCGGTTTACATCCACTGCACATGTGCAAATGCAGTTTGATTGGCCCAAGCTCAAAAGGATACTGAAGCGCAGTGCACCAGGCATTGCATTGGAAGCCGCCGAGACGGCGACCTGTTTCTGAGCAGTGCCACTGGAAGTACTTGTCCCTCGCCACGCTCAGCACCCACTCGGCAATCAGAGAGAACACAATGCCCACCACCTTGCCCTGGTGCGCTGTTGGGAGAGGCGGGAGGACGGACGCCAAGGGTTTACTTCAGACCCCCTGGAGTTCTGGAGCTTATATTTGAAGGCCAGAAGGTCCCAGAGGTTGGTTAGTGATTTCACTTTGTTTTGAAACGACTGCCAATTTTCTCCGACTGATCTGTGTGGAACCCCACCATGAAATCATCCGGAAATGTTGCTAGTTCAATGTTAATTTTCTCACAGTCAGCTTTCGTATAATCTCAAACTCGTTCTGCGCGAGTGGATGATTTTGGCACTGTAGCTTTAACATTAAAATGCAATAAACAATGATTGTAGATGTAATCTACCAGGATTACATCCTGGTAGATGTAAAATTGGTGAAACAAGGTCTGGATGGTTTGACATAACAAGATCCAAAACATCTGCTGACGACGAGATCACTCTCGTAGGTTCAGTAACTAATTGCGTTAAGCCAAAAACTAAGCAAAGTTTAACAAAGTCATTACATTCGGATGAAGACATGGTCATAGATGAATTACTCTTTGTCCACAGAATAAAAGGATAATTAAAGTCACCTAAAAGAAATATTGGGCAACGGGAAATCATAATTACGGTATTTAATGAGTCATGCAGAGCTTTAATGAACGTGGATGAGCTAGACCCAACTGTCTATTCCCTGGTTCCTTTACTTACCCAAATAATTTCTTTGATGAGTCATTTTGTTGAAGTCGTCGGCGACTAGGAATTCCTGGAGAAAACGTAAAAGTACAGTGAGCTCCCATTCTGCTAGACGGATTACAATCAACAAATACCACCGTGGAACGAATACTTACCGATATGGAGCCATTGTCCATTCCAATAAATAAGCGCCGGGTCTCGGAATTGTAGTCCATGGACGAGGCAGCAGCTGGAATGTTTGCCAAGGACACAATAAATCAATGCTCTTGGGAACACTTGAAACAATGTAGTATGGTGCTACAGACCGTTGCCACTCAAGAGCGTAAGTCGAGGGGAAGTGAGGCCGGGGAAGGGGGAAGCGGACGGAACGCTGGAGTGAGGAGGTTTCATCCTCTCCAGCGTTCCGGTCTGATTCCTCCTCCCCGGCCTTCCTTTCCCCCACCCCTACCTTCTTGAGGCACAATGGACTATAGCATGATGCATATTTCAAGCTACAGAAATCAGTTACAAGGCCTTCTACTGGTACACTATGTCAAATACAGCAAGAGTAGGACAAAAACAACTGGGATTTATAGAGATACAACCTGTGTTACAAAGAACTTCAGGAAACATTTCAGCATTAAGACTATGAATACAATTATAAGGGACCTGGCCACTTTACATTAGGCAACATCTGAGTGACTATGCATGCATCTACAGTTGTTTGAAAAGACAGCCCTTAGTAACTTCTACAACTGAACAATCCATTAGACACAATAAGTGCAAGATGCACATCTACACAGCAACAAAACAATTTCACATTACTGAACCAAAGTCTGGAGCTGACCATGAAACCAAATAAGTGGATTGAAAATTTTTATCCAGTAAGTCAGCAGATTTTTTTCATGCAAAAAAGATCAAGATTTAAAGCAATAAGCAAAGTACTACATCAACAAGTTCTTGGAATGCAATCTAACATGACTAATAACAAAAATGCAGATGCTCAAATAAGCACTGAAGGTACCTCGCTAGGTTATCTCATTTCCATAAAATCTTCCATAGTTAATCCGAGTTCCGTCGAAATAACATCCTCCCATTTGCACCTGCTAGCAATTTGTCTCGTCATGATCACCCATATAAAGTTTGTATTCTTTTTGTAAAACTAAGTTATTCAAATTTTCCCCGGTTCATGCAGGCTACAGTGGACTGGCATGAGTTGGCAGGCGGAACAGTCCAGACTGCGAACCATGACAAACTATGTTGCCGTGCCAAGGTGCGCAAGATGATGCCCTGCTTCTATTCAGTAGATTGCTGTGTTTCAACAACATTTATTTAATATGACTTGGGCATTTACAAATGTATACATGCATTTGTGCAGCTTTTTGTTGGGTCCTCCTTGTAGTTCTGTTCACCATGATCCTGTTTGTTTTATATTCATTATTTACAATCTCATGCATTTGTGCGGCTTTTTGTTGGGTCCTCTTTGTAGTTCTGTTTACCATGATCCTGTTTGTTTTATATTCATTATTTACAATCTTTTAAGATTATGAAAATGGTTTATATAACAACTCCTCTATGCAAGCACAAGTACAGGTATTGATTTAATTGCCTTTAAATAATAAGCAAAATATTTTAGTGTCTTAACCAAGGAAACAACTTGTTTCCTAGGATTAAGGCTAAAACAATTTGAAAACACCACTTCAACATCTGGTCAATATTCTGCTGATATGATCACAAACCAATAAGAATGTTTTATGTCATCAGCAAATACCAGAAAACAAGTGCTTTGACACAATTTAAACATTTTTTTAACAAGATGCTTAAGGCTTGATTTTTGGGAGACACCAGAAAATTAGACGAATTTATCTTTCGAAAAGACAAGTATGTTTTAAAGAATACAAAATCCTGAAAATGTAGACTATATGAACAGAATAACAATCAAAATGAAGGATGATTCAACATGTCAAAGGCATTTTACATATGAAGTTTATGGTTTTAACTTGCCCAGGTAGTATGATTTGCTCGGATGAACCGAATCTGAAACCAATGTTGACGCAAAAAACTCACATGGCATGTTATGGCATATACTTGGCCAGTACTGCCCAGTGTCTCTCCGGAGCCATACTCTGACGGTCCTGCAAGCCAAACAAGTTAATTTAAAAGTACATAATATTTAAATAATGGTACTTTCTTGTTTGATTCATTTTATGTTGAAATACCTGATGAAATTTAAAAACAAATAAAAACAGTTTTTAATGGCTACAACCAGACAGCAGCCCCAGCACAATCCAAGAAGAGTACACTAACACGTGGCTCTGACATTGCTCCACTGTAGTAGCACTGCCATCAGCACGGAACATCCAAAAACGTTTCACCTCATCCGAATCTGCTTTTCAGTGCCCACACCTGGCGAGGGCAAGTGCAGACCTGTTCGTAACCAGAGTGTTGATCTATAAGCTAGTGACAATCATACATGGGTAAATTACTTTCAAATTATAATTTAATTACAATTACCTTGCTTCAAAAGTAGTTTAACTACAATTACAATTACTACTACGTGAAAAGTAATTATTTTAATTACAATTTGCTTTTCAAAAGTAATGAAATTACTTTACAATTACTTATTTCTGAGAGCGACCCGACTTCGGCCATGTAACTTTAAACGAGTTGTATAGAATGCAACGCATTTGTTCACTCCTTGCCCCAATGTTGGAGGAGGCTTAAGCATCGCTGCATAAATGTCACGTATTGTACTTTCCTTTTATGAATTTTGTTAAACTCGTGATAGAAATTGGCAGTTTGGAGCAATGAAGTGCTATGTTCTTATATTTTAATAAATAATAATAAATTAGATCTTTAGCTGGAAGACGCCAGACGGCTAACGAAAAAATTGGATTCACAAACTTTTGTTAGCTCGCCAAATAAAAATGTGACAATTGGTCATATATAAATATTTTACAAGAATTAATAGAAAACTAAACTCCACACGTGCTAATACGACCGCATTCACACCCAAACAGCATGATATTATAAATTATTCCCATCGAGTTGAAATTATAATGGCTCAGAAATATATAACCGAATCGGGACTTCCGAATCATTGGTGACAATATTCACAGGTGCGAGGTCAGTCTCCAAAATGCTTATGCAAATAATATCCGAAGTAAAACCACCAGGAAATAAACTTGAAAATAATGCAAAGATACAAATATGCAACAGTACTGGAAGAAAGACGTATACACTCCGTGCGGGAACTATAGGGGGCGCTTTGAAAAACGCGCGCAGCGCCGCTAGCGGAGGAGCTGGCGTTCGACCGTGAGGCTCGTTCAGCAGCCTGCGGCGCCTTTTCGCATGCCAAGCTGTGGCGGCGGAAGCGCGCACGGACGGAACTTTTGCTTTTTGAGCCGATACGTTGAGGGTGACGTTGCATGAATGCTGGGGCAGACCTAAGAAGGGCATTTAGCTGTTCTCCTCTTCTTATATATTGAGTTTTAGTCGTTATTCGGGGGAATTTCTCTATTTGCGGCCAAAAAAGGAGTTGGAGCAATTTTCCGAAAAGCAAGACGGCCGCCACCATAATTGCTTTGAGTGGGAAATTCATTTCGCTCGTCGCTGTAAACGTAGGACTGCTGGAACGATGATATTGGAGGCGAGTGAGATGTCCACTAACTTTTTGCACCAAGTGTGCCAAGCTTCATTAAGACAGCAGGTGTGAAAGTTGTTTCTAACGAATGAAGAAATAAAGCTGTACGGTATATCCAATATTGGACCCAAAATGTTGTGTTATTGCGGGCTGTGCAAAGTGCAGATTTGAGCACACGGGTGCTTGGACTTGACAGTAACATGACACAGCACTTATTATAAAAAAAAAAGTGGCATAGGGAAACCAGGTGAAAATTTGGTTTGGGCGGCGTAACTCAATGGGAACCGGTTTTGACCATGAAAAGGCTGTCAAGAGAATACCACTGGTCGGGGGAGGTGGATACTTTAGAGGTAGGAAGGGACTAGTGAACTGTACTTCCCATTGAAACAACTTTCCGAAAGGTGGTTCCAAAGTCGAGAAAACGAAGTTGTCGGCCAACACGGTTTGGCCGCCAAGGGCTTTTGCGGTCAGCTGTTGTGTAATAACCTGTTGTGCGAGGTGTTGATTTTCGTCCCACAGGTACTTTGACATGACCGTCACTTGGCACAACACTTATTATAACAAAAATAGTTGGCATAGCGAAACCAGGTGGAAATTTAGTTTGGGCGGCGTAACTAAATGGGAACTGGCTTTGACCGTCAAAGGCTGTCAGAAAATACCACTCATAGTGGGAGGTGCACACTTTACAGGTAGGAAGGGACCAGTGGACGGTACTTCCAGTTCGAACCACTTTGCGATAGGTGGCTCTAAAGCCGAGAAAAAAAAATTGTTGTCTACAGAACTCGGGGTATGAGTGTTTCCACATCCAAAAGGAGGCTGATCAAGAAAGAAAGCACACCACATAAACTTGCATACTCAAACGCCGATTCTCCAGTGATTCCTAGATTCATGGTTGTTTTCTTTAGATTTATATTTGTCACTTTTTTTACCATTCAAATCTTTCTTCATGAAGTATAGATTGCGTGCCATGTTTGTCCGGAAATATCATCGACACGTACGATGGGGACGAAACTTCTTTGGAGGGCATTCCTCCAACGAAATTGGCACTGCATACCCGCGAGTGTGGGATGGCATTTCAGTTCGTCCCATCGGCGCTGACACATGTAGGCGTTACTGGTACGAAAACAAATGCAGAGCGCAACGCGGCAGTGTAGAATATGTCAGCCGTGCCGACACAGTGGCAGACATGATCGGGACACCAAATTTCTCGTGTCGTACGGCACGGCTCCATCGTTGTCGCTGCCCCACAAAACATCAGCGAGGTGAAAAACTGTGAAACTTTGACTCCAGGAGATACGACGCATAACTATTGAAGCACTTCATGACGCATCACAGGCAACACTTCATGCTGTGAACCCAGCGCAACAGCACCACTCCTACTTCAACGCGTACCAACGTACGCGGCGTGGTTTCGGTTTCGTTTTCTCTGGGGTGCTCACTGCCTACCTTCGGTACCGGCCGCGCGGCGGCGCGCCAGTCGCGTCGCACGGAGTGTATAAAACTGACATAAAAAAAAAAAAAAAAAACGTAGACAAGTAAAATTTTTAAGCTCAACTAAAAGCTGAAGCTTTTTTTTTTCATGTTTATGCTATTGTGTTTTGCTCGCTCCACAGACGGGCCCACACGGCGCCGTTGAGGTAGATTCCAAAGAGGATTGTCTCTCAGCCCGCAGTGTAAGCAACAAAATAAAGAATGCAATACTATTCTTATTGTGCGTATATGTGGGTGCGTGTCTATGTGTGCGAGAGCGTCACCGAGCGCTGAGGCTTTCAGAGAGGTTCCATCGGCTGCACAAAGTCTTGTAAAAGTAATTGTAATTGTGCCTGAAAACTTGCAATTACTGACACTAGAAACTAATTAAATTACAATTATTACATTTCCTTCTGGCTAAAAGTAATTACAATTATAAATTAGCAAGAAAAGTAATTAAATTACAGTAATTAAATTACTGTAATTGAGTTATTTCCCAAGTATGATGACAATACACGACTGTTTCATTGGTCTGTTGCAAGTTTGTATAGCAAAAAATGAGTGCTGCACTAGACTCATGCACACTCTTTTATATATTGGACACAACACCACAAGAGTTGTAGACACGAATGCATGGCCTTTTATTCACAGGCTTGCGCAAAATGGCAATGCTCGAACCCACATTTTTCATAACATCCATTCTCATCCACAAGATGAAGCGCAGCGAGCACTTGTTGACATTACAGTTAAGCAAAACTAAGCTCAAAGGATAAGGAAGTATACCAACAGCTCCAAACCACAAAATGATGGGTATATGAACATGTACATGAACATTAAAAGCTTAGCTCCGTTGGAAATGGTATGTGTGCGTGTTCTTTCAGTGTGTTTTCTACCAACCTTTTTCCTGTCCCAGCTTTTAGTTACATTTAGGACGAATCACCTTGCCTGTGTGCTCACCCTTCGTTCACGCTAAATCAACAGCAGTGTTTTGACAGCATTATGTAGTACGTAAACCATTAGAAGGAAGACCTCAGTTTCACAGGCTCAAGCTTACTTGCAACTACACTCAACATTCACCAGATGGCAGCACTTTTTGAACTTGTGTCCTATAAAAGCAGTCCCTTGGAGTTGCTCTTTACGCTGATAGCTACTAGAGCGTGCAAAAACAACAAAAGAAAGTGTAGTCTCGAGCAAACGCGGGAACAAAGCTATGTGATCCGCCCACACGTTAATCGTGATTACCTCGAATGCTCATCACCTCAGTACAACACTTACAAGCTCCGTAATTACGCTACCTGACCATTCTGATACGGACGATAAGTGTGGTTATAATCCGTGTTTACTTAACGCAAGTTTGAATGATTAAAACTCCCACTGTGTGTAGTGCATAACATTAACGCTTTTGGGAGCGGGCCAAAAGTGGCAAGGAAGTTGTCGACTGGCTCCAATTTTTACCTGTCATCGCTGATGCTGATGACACCATCCTCTCCAGGAATGATGACGGCGACGTTCACTGCCTCCTGGTGACCGACGAGTTTGTTGATCAGCTGCGGTTTCTTGGAGTTCCCGACTTGAGCGTCCGAACTTCCTATCGGCTTGATTTCAGCAGCCATGGGTGCCCCAGTCTGCTTCCTGTCACAGGAAGCAACAGCACGCACTCTCCTTGTTACGCAATATTTCAAAACACGCCCATTTTGTAGGCTTCCTGCTCAACTAAGGCGTACGTATATATTACCGTACTATCATGGATTGATTGGGAGGGCGCAGTAAAAAAATGCACGGATACTGTAGGCCTAAGGACAATCTTTCTGAGGGGCGGCTGTTTTCGTTCGCTGGGCGAAACGCCGCCGCTAGGCTCATATCGGTCCGATCGAGAGAGCAGACGGTTAAAAGAAAAAACACCGTACCTTTTAACATGAAACCGACCTTCGTTGATAATCCGGTGTAAATTTTGTTTCACGAATAAATCAGCTGTTCAGCCGTTGACATGAAGTAACTCGCGTGAAACACTTCGGCTACTCGGTGCTTGTTGGCTCTGAGCGCTCGCGAGCCTTGGCCCTCTGGCGAGGGAAGATGAAATTAGTTTTTGTTAGCGGGCACAGATGGCGCAACGTGCCCAGCAGTCCAGCAAAGTCCAGACTCCAGTCCTAGCGCGTGCTTCAGCGTCTCGTTGGTCTCGTCTTGAACTCCATGCGCAGAGAAAAAGGCTTGCCAAGGCCCAGTGTTGCCAATTTAGCGGTTTTCCCGCTAAACTTAGCGGTTTTTGGTTTTGGTTAGCGGGATAAATTATTGTTTTGCGGGCGGCGGGATTTTTAGCCGGTTTTATGTAACCTTGGCGGTTTTTTAGAGATATAGAAGTTTTATATCGGTTTACTGTCGACTATGCATCTTTCATATCCATAATAATAAGGATAATAAGCCACAGTCGTCTTCGCTGACCCTCAATAATTGTCTGGGTTGTGAGAGTAATGCCTGTGACGTCATCAAAACATTAAGACGTCGAATATCGGAACATGCCTTCCCGTTTTGTGCGCGCACGTTTGAACAGCATGAATGTTCCAATTTTCCTTTGGCGTTTTTGTCACTGTTTCGTGAAATGGGCGCGGTAAAGACGCTCAAAAGTTTAGAAAAGACCCCAAACTCAAAGACTGGCTACTGGAGGTTCCTGGTAATAGCAGACGAGCCAGGTGCCGCTACTTCAAAACGGAACTATCTGCGAAGAATGTGGATTTGGTCATGCAAGCTGCAACGAAGAAGCATGTTTCGGCCGCTGCACCTTTCTCCTCTGGTAGCAGACGACTCTACAAGTTGAACGGGTCTGACTAGTCACGCACTGCTGAAGGGTCCCTTGCCACGTTCATATGCGCTCACTCTGCAATTTTGGCTTCGGATCACCTGGGTGAACTGTGGCGTGGAGTGACAGATTTCTAGTCAAAACAAAAGGAAAGCTTCCTTTCAGATGGGAATGATATGATCTATACTGTTATTATACCTTGGTCGAGAATCAATGCAAAAAAAAAGTTTAAAAAGTCGCTTTGCGTTGTATTTTGGATTTAGCGGTTTTTTAGCGGTTTTCGGGGTTCCAACTGCGGGTTTTCAATTTTTGAGTTGGCAACACTGCCAAGGCCTACCTGCCTACCTCGCTGGCCAATGCTTGCGAACACTCGTGAATCAATCCTCCATGCCCAACGTTACACGTTGTCCGTGCCTAAACACAACTCTATGCCTGAACCCCCCGAACCGAAAACCGATAAAAGAGCAACAGTTTTCGGTAGTGCGGAACCGAAACTAGAAAATAAACAGATCGGTAACTGGACTGTTACCGTTAAAGAGAGTACGTTTTGGGAATTCATTTTTCATAAAATTCGAAGGGTGATTTTCGGAGTTGATTCTTTGATGCTGGGGTATATTGAGATTTCCAATTCTCCGAAATTCGGAGTTTCATTTTTGCCGTTTCCCCAACTTTCGAAAACTAAAAAAATAAATGAATAAATATCTGAGCACAAACCAAGGGCAAATCCAAAACTCCGGGTTTTTTTTGGGGGGGAGGGGGGGGGGGGGGGCGGGGGCGGAAAATTTGTCGGGATACTATTCTCCCATTCTTTCTTGTGCACCGGCGGGTCCACCCATGTCAAATTGCCCTCCGAGAAGGGGGGGGGGGGGGGGGGGGGTCTTCGCTTGGGGGGCGGCCACCCCCGTCACCCCATCCACCCCTTTGGATCCGCCCCTGACACAAATGTACCCTAAATTCCAAGAACTTACCTGTATCGAACGATATCTCTTTAGAAGGATGCGGCGTTAGCGCCAGGGGATGAGATGAGAGAGCGCGGGGACGTCGGAACATTTTAGGAACAACGAGTTCTGGTCAGCGGCGGATACAGGGGTGGGAGGGGGGGGGGGGGGGGGGCGCGGAAGCTAGGACTGAAGCCCGATGGTATAATGAGGCTCCGTTTTAGATGCTTAATGAAGTTGGTGAAACAGATTTATCTACAGTGAATATACAAAGTGCCACAAATGCAAAATGCTGTACTCTGATTCCTCAATGGCGAGGCGACACATTTTCAAATAGATTGTGTGTGCGGAAAAAGAAATTGTTACATCAACGCCGTCAAGGTCGGACAGCCGCAAACCATTTGTGAAGTAAATAACTAAAAGTAGTATGTAATCGGAATTATTTAATTTGTTCAAGTAATTTTAGTTGTAACTATCCTTTTGGAGCGAATTAGGTACTTATACGTATACGTAAAAAAATTTTAATTTCTGAAATCAATTTTTTAAGTATACGTGTAAACTCGCAGTTACAGGCATACGCAAGTTACTTAGCTCGGGTGAGTAAATAATACACCTCTGGCCCACACCATACTATACAGGGTGTTTCATTTTAATTCGAACAGATTCATTACAAAAAAAAAAAAAAAGAAAATCCGTGAAATGTGCACTAAATCTGTTTGTGCCGGTGAGTTATACGGTCAAGGGGAATGTAGGGGATTATCCTCACGATAAGCCGGATAATTAGTCCTTAACTTTTTCATTAGTGCAAATAAACATATACTTCTTATCAGGAACTTGCTGAGTGTCATTGAAAACCACTAAATCAGTCAATTCTAGAGCGACTTGAAGCACGTGGGTTCACCAAAGTTACCACTCGAGACAACAGGCGCAAAGCTAGCGGTGGTGAACCTCAGACGATAATCTAATCAAATTAAAGAACTGAATGAAGATATCTGAGTTCTAAGCATGGTTAAAATCAACGAAAAAAAAAAAAGGTAGGGAATTGTTTTCCTACCTTTATTTTTTTTTTATTTTTCTTTTTGCCTTTTTTGCCTACCTTTTTTCTTTCTCCTTTTTTCATGCCAATTTTTTTGTACCTTGTTTCGTTGATTTTGACCACGTATAATGCTAACCAACTAGCCCCCTCACCACCCTTCTACAGATTTTAGTTAATCATCCAACGTACTTCTTGCGAATTTTTTTTTTAAATAAATCTCTTCGATTTAAAATAATATCTTTTCGTAAACAAAATACCGCTCATTTGAATTTGATCACCTGCATGAACATAATGTCTACACTACCCCTAATCGATTCTCCAAAACTACTTCAAATATTCAGTGAGACCTTGACTGAGGGCGAGTAAAACGTGAAAACCCTGTACAATAACCGAACTGACGTCTTATCATTGCTGTGCGCTGTGCGTTAATCACAGTCGACTGCACTTACTAAATTTCTCACGTGTACAGCGGAGACACCATGCGCCCTTTGGGATTGACTAACTTCCTGCTCTCGAAACATACACATAACAGAATTACCTTTTAACTGACTACGCAGTGTATGAGCAATTAGGCAAAATGTTCGGACGCACCTGTATACTTCACATAAAGCCAACGGACGCAGAATGCGTCTTGTATTTGTGTCGACCTGTTTGACCTGCTGTCTGGATCTGTTTCACCTGTTTTGCCCGTATACACGAGAGAGAGAGAAAGAGATCAATTTATTAAACACGCAAATCAAGTGTTCAGAATGTCCATGGCTTAAAAAAATACCAAGGCCGTTCTCTCTTCCATTTGCTCCGACGCTAGCCAGGCTCTCAAACACACGACGCGTTCTATACGTGAATCGTTTTTTTGCGAAGCATAAAGGTACGTTAAAATTTTTTGTGTCTGACCCACGACGAGCCACCGCAGCTACTTTTAACTGCATCCGGGGAGGCTTGTAATCCCCTACGTCGTCGATGACTGCTCCGTGGTCATGGGGTTGGTTTCTCTCAAGTCTTGAGCAGCGCCCCTGGCAAGCAAACTCGGATAGTTGTAGGTCGCATTTCCGTTTGTGCCTCGAGTTGCGTTATTTCAAACGCTTTGTTACGGTTGCGTGGACAGACGCAGAAAGACGCTAACAGACGCTAGTGTACGGCCGTGGAGAGCGCATGACAGGACACTTGAAATGTTCGGGTCTCACGGACGCTAGCGGAGGCGTCTCTTGTGCGGTCGCGCCACGTGAATGCTTACAGCGCCCCCTTGGCCGAGAGAAACAGGCCTACACGTCATATAGTCACGTTGCGGGTGCGACTATGAGTGACGTGATCACGTGAAATAAGGTCACGTGACGTCACGTTAAATGCCGTCATGTGACACCATGTTGCACGTCACGTTACGCAGTACGGGGAGGAAGGTGACAGAGCGCAGAAGACGATTTTTAGAATGGCGGTGTATAATTATATGTACGATGCTTAACAACTTTGGCCTTTCCACAAAGATAATCTTATCGGTGCTGTGTTTGGGAGGTGACGATCTCAGGTGTGGAACCAAGAGTCGGGGCTGTGGCTCGCTGCTAGCATTTCCCTGAAGAAACAGGCCTGGAGTGGGGTTAAGGAAGTAGAACTTTTATGTACTGTACTGTGAATATACAGGTAGCATGGTCGACTGGTTAAACGGCAATCGGCGACTTCGGACTCCCTGAGCCCGTGTCATATAGCCCTCCGAGGGCGAGAAAGCCCTCTGAGAGAGAGAAGCCTTCCTCGGAGTTCGAGTGTTCACGTGGTGCTCGAAGTGCGGGGACGGCTGGTGCAATTTCCGGGTGCTCTTCCAGCGAGAGGCAGATGATGTAACTCCTCGACGTTCTTGCCGCGCTTCGGTGACTGATGTAAGGAGTCGACGTTCTTGATGAAACCCAACACCGACATGGTTCATGATTTGGCAGACACGATGGCTCTGAAAACAGGAAGCTCACCGAGATGTTCCAATTCACATGGCTCACGGGCCAGACATGAAGCAGAACCAGACTTGCACACGTTACTGAAAAAAAGTAACCGATCACAATTACAATTACTTCACTGTAAAAAGCAACCAATTACAATTGCAATGGCACCCTCAAAAAAGCAATAAAACAATTACCCTAAAGTAATCGATTACTTCCCAAGCTACTTTTCATACAACTTTTTTTTTTTTTATTACGGTAGCACATCTACACATTTAAATAGGTGTTCCACTTTTATACGCTTCTTGTTGTTGTTTTCTTTCTCTATTTTTTGTCCTCTACACCTTGTTCAGTTTCAGCAGAAGTT